TATCTATCTATCTATCTATCTATCTATCAGCCTTTTGGGTACAGCATGGCTCGCCGGCCACGCTTTCGGTGCATGTGATGCCCTGGTGGCAATGGCGACCCTGAAAGCAGAATCTCGCAGGGAGTCAGGGCTCCCCGGCGGCTGGGCTGGCCTTTGCTTCCTGCTTAGCTGCCTGCTCCTCTTCTCGAAGCTCCGAGCTGTGCTGGACCCACCTGGTCCCAATTCCAGGTCCGTCACGCCACGATCCTGTTTTGAGCACCTTTTTTCTAGTGACGGAAAAGGGCAGGGTTGGACGGGGGCCATGCCCCGTCCAAGAGGGGACATGCTTGACCAATCTCACAAAGCTCCCCCCGAAATTCATGGCATAGGGCCCTCAGGATCCCACGGGATCAATAGAATTCGCAAACGTAGTTTCAAAAGAGCACAGCAAAGACTTGCACTACATGGTTTCGCCTACTACCATGGTCGTCTCCTCACTGGGCTACCTTCGAATAGGCATGAGCAACCTACAACCAACTGGGTGACTTCCGACCGAGCTGGCCAGACACGGAAGCGCCTGGCCATTTGCTGTTGGAATGCCATGGCATTGAGCTCTTCCAACTTTGTGGAGCTCCTTCAATGGGCCTCCGTTCGTCAGATTGATGCCCTGATGATCCAAAGCACCCACTGGTCCATTGAAGAGCCTTGGACATCACATGGCTACCATATCATCCCCTCTCCTGAACTACACAAAGCAGGTGGTGGATTGATCACAGCAATACGAACCTCCATTTGTTCCATGCACAATATCAGTTTTCAGGACTGGCTGCCTGGTCGACTTCTTCATGTCCGCTGTTATCTCAACAAGCATCACATGGATTTGGTCAATATATCAGGTCCCAACGGGACAAACGCTCACCAGACCTGAACCCTTGAAACACAGACTGGAAATTTGGAATTCGGTTCATCAATTACTTCATCAACTCCCGGTTCGAAGCACATTGGTATTGGGAGGTGACTTCAACACCTCTCTTCGTGTTGGCATGGGAGCTGCTGCCTCAGACACCCACATGCTCAAAAGTCTCATCAAGGACTATGGTCTCACGAACCTCAGGACCAACGACCACACTCCCACGTATGCTGATACGACAAAGGGTCATGGCTGTCTTTCAGGTGGCCACTGAAGAAGCATCCGGACCTTGCATGGCATCAGCGCCGGTGACCCACAGTTGTCCGTACTGTGCACAAAGCTTTGACTCACTTGCCATGCTGAATAGACACATGTCCAAGAGGCGCAAGGTCACACAGATATTCCAACGGTTCATCAATTTGAGAGACGCTCTACATGGCCGACCACAATGCTGTCACTGTAACGGAAAGTTCACCTTATGGACTGGACTTATCCACCACATTGAACACAACAGTTGCACTATGTTCAACGCAGCTCGTGCCCTGCAGGTACCTCCCTGTGATGATGAAGATATGCGCCAGTATGTTGGCACTCATGCTTGGAATGCCCTCTTTGAACGCCCGGACCTCACTGGATGGATTCGCCAACACTGTGTGATATGTGCTCGGGCATTCCAAACTGGAAAAGACATCCTACGCCATCTTGCACGTTGCCATCACTCCATGTGGGAGGCCTCCAAATCCAAGACCTCTGAGATTGTCCTGCAGATCAATGACACACGAGCGTGTTTGGCCTGTGGCATTGACAAGGCCGCCACTCACAGTTGTCATGCCCTTCGTCAACTGGCCATTGTACTTCATATGCATGAACATCAGTTATGGTCGAAAGACCTTCTGACGGAACAGGTTGCGAGCTTGGCACCTCCTCGACCTGACCCTGATCAAGCACTTCCAGAGTCGGTGAAGAGGCGCAAGATGGACACAAATGAGGAACAATCCTGTATCTTCCAACCTGCAAGGGATTCGGCTGACGGTACACCTACCTGCTCACATTGTATGAAGACACTGGCCTCCTTCTTCAGTTTGAGGAACCACATTGAACATGGATGCAAGAGCTTCAATCCCAACAGACCACCGGGCAGCCACGTTCCCTGTCTGTGGCCAAACCTGCGGAAACTGTCCAGTGAGCATGATCTGGAAGCAATTGTGAGCAACACGGTCTACCAAGCGGCTCTCAGATCCTGCTGCGTGTTGTGTGGCAGGCAATCCCGTCGACCTGGAGGAGTTGCACAGCACCTGGCACAAGATCACGGAGCCATCATGGAACAAGCCCTGCACTTGGAGAGCAAATACCTAAACATTGCAGCGGCAGGTGGCAAGCCATGTCTTTGTGGAAATTATTCCACAAAAAAGGGGCACAGATGCATGGTGTTTCAACAGCTTGCAGTACTGCATTTGGCTGTCACACCCCAACAACAGCAGGATGCACACTTCTTGACCAAGGCTCCGCTACCATCGGACGACCCTCTCTTTTATTGGAACAACAAAGAGTGGTGCACGAAACTCAGCAAAGAATGCAGCATCTGTCAAGCCCCATGTGAACCTGGTGATCTTGTTGCACACCTCCATGATCACCATGATGGTTTGATACAGCAGATCATGTCCAAAATCACTGTATGCTTGAGCCCTACACCGTACTGCTGCAGCTTTTGCTGGAAGGCTCCGGAGGTTGTTGATCAGTGCCCCACAACGTGGAACTTGGCTGCCCTGTTGGCCTCTCATGCCACAATTCGAGATCACACCGGACGATCTGATGGGACAGCTGACGGACACCTTCGGCGGCCTGCTGGACGTCCAACCTCGTCAACAGGCTCTCAAGCGGCCCAAACACGAGATCGAACCAGCATCAAGAGATTCCTCAGACCAGCTGCCAAAGATGGTTCAACTTCTAGCCACCCTCACATTGAGGCACGAGAGTCAGTTGCAGGCCCTGGCGGTTCAGGACACGTACATCTTGTTTCTCCAGCCGGGGACTGCCAGCATCATTCCAGCTATTCAGCAGACAACAGTAGCCTGGAAGCAAGAAGTGGACCAGAAAACGGCTACCCAGTCTCTGCGCCTCAAGCTCGTGACCATGATCTCTCAGGCACTCCTGGACAGGATGCTGAAGGTGGCTCAGGCATCCACTACGATGGATATTTGGCAGGAAGCCATTCGCCACAACCTCATCACGGAGGCTGGAGCGTGGAACTACCTGTCTTGGAACCAGCAGACCAAACAGGTACAAGTCATGCAGAAGCAGCCCATCTCGATGACCAGCATGCAGAGTCTCCTGGAAGAGCTGATCGAACTGATCAGGGATCCGACAGCGGTGGTCAGACTCAAGTCTCTAAAAGCCTCGGATCAGGACTCCCAGCAGACCAAAATCATGCCCTGGATGCTACAAGTAAGCCTTCGACACCACCAACTCTACGAGGTCCTCCAGATGCTGTCAGCTTCGTCGGTGTGGAGCCTCCTGCTCGGCCGCCTCAGGCCCCATACAGTGAGAGAGAACCCCATCGCCGCCAGTTTGGCGAAGGGATCATATGGCCAATCGAGAAGGAAGTGATCATTGGGTGGCTCATGGCTGTCAGGTTGAGCAATGCCCAAAATGACTGCTATCAAAACGCCGCCTTTCAAGCCATGTTTTGGGCCCTGCTTCAACTCAAGGAACCCATGTGGAACGAGCTGGGGGAGGGAGCGGAGAAGTTTGCTGAGCCTTTTGGCATGGACAGCATGTGGATTAGTTTGAAAGATCTCCCAGGATTTGGGGAGTTCCTCAGACCTTGGGGTGAAGGTCAACAGGACCTCCACGAGTTTCTGGGCAAATTCCTCGAATGGATCAAGCAAGCCTCTCTGTGTGAACAGCTCCTGGCAAAGGATTGTACAGGAAGGGGAAGAGATCAGAATCACTGATCGTGGG